TTTACTTTTAACCCTTAATAACTTGCTGCATAATAGATTTGGCTGTGTTGGGTTGTTTAGTAAAAGAAATCACAACTGAAATAGCAGGTGGATTATAATCACCTCTGTCTAGTTTAGGAAAATTAATAATCATTCTTCAAGATAAACACGATTGCACATGCAAAACAGGTGAGTTAAATATGGATGTGATTGGTTATCATTATCTCTGTATCTTTGAAGCCTTTGAATGGCACAAATACCTGTAGTGCCCAAACATTCAGTCATTGCTCTTAGGTTACTACAGTTGAAGCAATTGTTGAAACTGAATTAGTAAGGCTTGATTAGGATATATCTCTGATTTATTACTATCCAGTCATCTGTATTACCTCAGAAACACTTTGAAAACCCACTGTACCAGAGATTTTGTGAAAAGGTATATTGCTTTTAACTTATATTTTTTATATAGATTCAATGTTCGTATAGATTCAGCAATTCAATAATGTTGAACTATTTCGTTTTTCTTACTTTTTAAAGTTTTGTTTGGTTTTCTATGGAATTTTCCCATGTTGCTTACATTTTCAAATTTACTGATGAATTTATTCCCATGTTTAAATTTTCATTATTTTTTTATGCTAGAAACTATTATGGGGGCATCTAAGTGCCTCAGTTAGCTGAGCATCTGACTCCTGATTTTGGCTCAGGTCATGATGTCGGGGTCATGAGATCAGCACCATGTCAGGGTTCTTTTTCCTATACAATTTTTAAAAATTCTGTAGTTAAGGAACATATATTATGCAATTTTTATTTTTACCATTTATTGAGACTTCCTTTATGATCATGGATATTATCCATTTTGCTAAATATCTCATGTGCAGTTGAACTTAATAGGTATTCTGCAATTGACTGTACTATTTTATGTCAGGTTAATTTGATTAAGTCTTCTTTTTCCTATTAATTTTATTGTCTGATTTTTCTCAGTCACTGAGAGAAGTATGTTAGTATCTTCAAGTAGATTTTGGGTTTTTAAATTTATTTTTGATTTCTCAATGTTTTATGTTTTGAAGCAATTTACTAAATAAATACAAATCCTGGTTGAATTTTATCATACTAAATATATCTTTATCTCTGTAACTATCTTTTCTGCTATTGATATCGTTTGTTCCCTCCCCCCCCCTTTTTTTTTTTACTAACATTAGTTAGTAAGATACCATTATTTTGGAGTAGAGGTTCCTTCCTCTTAGTTCAGATGCTGAATTTGTTCCTCTGGAGCAGGTTGAATTAGATTCTGATTTGTATCTAGAGCCAATAGAGGAGGTAGGAATATGTCTTGAGGAGGCTAAGTATCTCCTTGCAGGGTAACTTCCCCAGAAGAGAGAATTACAGGGTGTCAAGCTCTAGCTGGCTAGGCTTTTCAGACGGGAGAAGTCTGGCTTCTCCCCCTGGTAAAGGAGACTCAGGGATACTTGGGAGGATGGAGATAATCAGATACTCAGATCTACCTGAAATTCTTTTTTGCAAGTGTCAAGATTTTTTCCCTTCTCTGTCAATGTCCTACTAACTTTCCCACTAGAGTCTTGAGAAATCTATGTTTTCAGCTTACATTGTGATTCTGTAACTCCACAATTAAAGTCTGATATTTTTGTAAAACTGACTCTGTGGCTAAAATAAATGAGAAATTCTTTTAGGTCTAACATTATCAGCCCTCTGAACTGAGAGCTTAGTCTTGAGCTTTACTGTCTCCAGTAGACCAGTCCTTGAGGTACTTAATGGTCATTATCACACTTGGTCCTCCACACATTTGGTTCAGTAGTCCACTTCATCATAATAAACATTGAGTGGTAATTTAATTCATTGTGATGCCACTGTATGCGCATTCCCTATTGGACAGGAGTTCAACAGTGTGTAAAGCCATGGACATGCCCATACAATCTGAGTCCTATTTTGTCTGTCTCTCTTGGCAGTACTCTTGGTACGAAGTCCTGTATCTGTCAAGATCCAGTCCAGAAAAGAAAAACCCACCAAGAGTAATTAATATAAAGAAATTATTGAAAAGGTTTTTAGAGGACCAAAAAGATGAAAAGAGTACACCAAGGTACTTAGAGGTATGAGTTGCAAGAAAAAGCTCTACCCCTAAGATTGGGGGGGAAAGGGTAGAGGTTGGGGTTATCATAACTAGATACTTTGATAATGGGCCTCATATAGATCTGTACTGTAGAAGACAGGGCATTGCTTAGGTCATGTGGGTTACAGGAAATCAGAAAAGGGTTTCTGTAGAGCTAATAGCTGTACTTACAAGGTCATGCTGAACTGGTACTGGTTCCTTGGGAATTTGGAAGAAGGTCCTCCAGAATTGTGACTCACATTTCAGAGAGACACATGCTACACACATGGGGCTTATATTGAGGTTCTTTGTGGTGTGCCCAGAATACCTGAATAAAGGACACTGGCTAGCTGGTATGGGTTGCCCAAGGTACTGGAAAATGGCTCTGAACATCTGGTACTCAGACTTCTGAGTACGGCACACTGTTCATCAAGTACTTATACTTTTGTTAAGGGCTGATGGAGCTGGTTCTGGGAATGTGGTAACCAACTCTCACCACCAGAGTAAGACACCAGAGTTGGGGATTCATAGAAAGTAACAGCAGGCAAATAGATAATCACAAGTCCCTTATCCTCTTTTTTATTTTATTTATTTTATTTTTTGCATTTTATTCTCTCTCCTGTGTCCTTTTTGATAAAATTTCAGGAAGCCAAATAACAATGGAAATATAATGTGCAGATTCCCATTTCTAGCTTCATAGACAAAGTATAAATTTTAGTTTTGGAGTTCAGGAAATAGCTGATAATCAGTATAAGAAATGTCAGTAGAATGCTACTAGAGCTTCTATGGTAGTGGGTAATAGCAGGTGACAGTGATCTGTGTGAAGCTCTCTGATATGTAGTAACATTTTAGTATTGTTTCAATTAGTTGTGGCTCACTAAATTGATTTTATGACCCTGTGTGGTTTGTAACCTAAGTTTGAGAAATAGTGAAATGAGGTTGTGATTGAGCATGAGAGGAGACTTGGCAAGATACAGATTTGAGAAATTTGAAACAGCTGCTGGAAATAGAAGAACTAAGGATTCATACAGAGGAAAATCTCACACTGCTTGAAGTGCTGGTAATGGCAGAAAGGAAAGGCTTTGGAGAGACAGCAGTTCACATAGTTCATGGTCATGCAGTGTTCCTTCAGGGCTTCTCTTTGGAGCCATGCAATGGTGACAGACTAGTATGTCTCAAAAATTCTCAGCTATGAACTTTTCTGTTATTACCACATCATATTTCTGAGAAAACTTAATATAGGTTATTTTCCTCTCTGTAATGCTTTAATAGTCCTCTTCCAAACCACACATTCTCGCTTTAATAGTCCCAGATCTGTAGCATATACCAAGGATATCATGAAGAGAGAAATGGAGAGGAAATCCAGTAATTAGGATTTCACCTCAAGCAGAGCTACTTCCCCTAAGAAGATTCATCTAATATTATTGGCTTCCAGTAGCTATCTATTAGTTCTAAAAAAGTATTCAGATGTATACAAGTGTTCTCAACATTATAATGCTGAAGATATTTCTCATACTCTATACTACTGATCCTATTTGTGTCATGTTCTGAACCAGTATGTGTTCAAATGCGTCTCCAAATTTGTTTTAACTTTTGCTTTCAAATATTAAACAAATTGATACTTAAAAAAAGATTTTATATATTTATTTGAGAGAGAGTGAGTGGGAGAGAGAGCACAAGCCATGGGGAGAGGCAGAGGGAGAAGCAGACTCCCTGCTGAGCAGAGAACCTGATGCAGGGATCATGACCTGAGCTGAAGTCAGACACTTCACCAACTGAACCACCCAGGCACCCCTAAATTATTGATACTTTTAACTTAAAGTCAGTGAGTAAGCAAAATTAACTTTTACTTGAATTAAAACTTATGTTTTCAACAGAAATGGCGTAAGTCCATTTGAACTGTGGGCTTTTGAACATTTTAATGAACTGACTTTAGGTATGAGCTCCTCAATCCACCCTTCTCTGGAGAACTCAGCTAATTTGCCAGACATGAAAAAATATAGACTAGAATCTATATTTACACATCTAAAATGAGTCTCTTTTGATGAAAACATGATGATGCAACTAGGCTGGGTAGAGAGAAGGCTGCTGCCTGCACGCTGTGATTTGGGGCAATTGGGCTATTTGCCTTGCCCTCAAATAGCAGCCCATTCCCTGTTTCTCCTTCCTATGGCTGCCTTTTTTGGATGTCCAGAGTTTTTCTACAGATAAGAATGAATTATAAAATAAAAATTTGGCTTGTTTGAAAGAGGCATCCCAAAATTAATATGTCCCTTAAGTGAGGCTTACTTTGAGTGCGAACCTTAGGCAGAATGGGAGCTCGATAAGATGTCCCACACAGGACAGGGGAAGTACAATAAAGAATAAAGAGACTAGAAAACAGTGCTTTTTGGATGGGTTGTCTACATGCTTTTTGAAGATGGTAGGGTACTGGTCAATTTTTGAGAGGAGAAGCAATGTGGGAGTCAGATACCAGTCTTTTTTAATATGGAAAATTTTATGTCAGTTTACATGTTTAGAAAGCAGTATATAACCATTACCCATCCATAACCAACCTCCTTCATCTCCTCCTCTGGAGACCTGTGCTCCTCTAACCCTTTGTCCACATATATATGTATATGTACATGTACATGTACATGTATACGACAGTCTCAGGCATTTTATTAATTCTAGCCTCAATCCAATTGAAGAATCACCTTTGTCTTACTTTCTTCTCTGTCCCATTCTCTCTACCCCACCAACCCCATCCTAGCTCTTTTTTTGTATTTTCACTTGCAGCACTACAACTTTGATGGTCCATCTCTTCCAGGACATAGATCCATAAATGTCAGCCCTGCACCCTAAGCAGCTCACAGGGAGGAGCCAGACCAGCAGCACCCCACACCCTGCCCTCTTTTCTGCCCTGGACAGATGGCTCCATGATGACAGCTCCATAATGGCACTGGGTGAGGCCCTGGTGCACATCACGGTCACTCTTCTGCTATTCTGGGTAGGAATGTCTCTGTTCATTTCTGGCCACTCTCAGGCAAGGCCCTCCCAGCACTTCTCCCCAGAATTGGTGATCCCCTTGAAGGTGACTGGCAGGGGCAGAAGTGCAAAATCTCCAGGCTGGCTCTCCTACAGCCTGAAGTTTGGGGGCCAGAGACACATTGTCCACATGAGGGTCAAGAAGCTCTTGCTTTCCAAACACTTCCCGGTGTTCACCTACACGGACCAGCATGCCCTCCTCCAGGATCAGCCTTTTGTTCCTGATGACTGCTACTATCATGGTTATGTGGAAGGAATCTCTGAGTCCCTGGTTGCCCTCAGTACCTGTTCCGGAGGTTTTCGAGGAATACTACAGATTAATGACCTTGCTTATGAAATTGAGCCAATTAGTTTTTCTGCCACATTTGAACACCTGGTGTATAAGATAGACAGTGGTGATACACAGTTCCCACCTATGAGATGTGGGTTAACAGAAGAGGAAATAGCACACCATTTGCAGTTGAGGGCATCATATAATTCTACTCTGATGCAAAATTCTTACATGGGCTGGTGGACCCACTTGCGGTTTGTTGAGCTGGTAGTAGTTGTGGACCATTTTCGATACCTTTACTGTAAAAGTAATGTGTCATTAGTACAGCGTGAAGTATTTGATACTGTCAATATAATAGGTATCTTATATAGCCCTTTGGAGGTTGAAATAGTTTTGAATGGGATTGAAATCTGGAGTGAAAGAAACCTGATTTCCACTGATACTATAGAACAGATTTTGGGGGATTTTTCTGCTTGGAAGTTTTCCAATCTTGATGACCGACTGCCCCATGATACTGCCCATCTTTTCATTAAAAAAAATTTTGGTATAAAGCTTGGAGTTGCCTACGTTGGAGGAATATGCCATCGTCTTTTTAATAGTGGAGTTGATGTCTTTGAAGAAGACCGTCTGTATCTTTTTGCACTTACTGTGGCCCATGAACTTGGTCATAATATGGGTATGACTCATGATACTAAAGAATGTAAGTGTGGGCTTCCGTGGTGCATAATGTATGACTCCCAGAGCGTGACAGCTCGGTTCAGCAATTGCAGTTATGCCGAGTATTGGAACAATATTCTCACTAAGGGATTATGTATTCACTCACCTCCATATCCAGGGAATGTCTTTAAGGTACAGTACTGTGGGAACCTAGTGATTGAAGAAGGAGAGGAGTGTGATTGTGGGACCACAGACCAGTGTGTAAATGATCCCTGTTGTCTGTTGAACTGCACTCTGAAGCCTGGAGCTGCTTGTCAGTTTGGAATTTGTTGCCAAGACTGCAAGTTAATGCCATCAGGGACTTTGTGCAGACATCAGATCAGTGAATGTGACCTTCCAGAATGGTGCAATGGGACTTTTCATCAATGCCCAGAAGATGTATACATGCAGGATGGGATTCCCTGTGGTGACAATGCCTACTGCTATGAAGGGAGATGTAATAACCATGACAAACAGTGCAGGGAGATTTTTGGCAAAGATGCAAGGAGTGCGTCTCAGAGTTGCTACAAAGAAATAAACACCCAAGGAAATCGATTTGGTCACTGTGGTATCACCAACCTAGTATACGTGAAATGTGAGGGCCCTGATATTCTGTGTGGGAGAGTGCAGTGTGAAAATGTAGGAATGATTCCTAATCTGATCCAACATTCTACAGTGCATCAGCTTCACTTCAATGATACCACTTGCTGGGGCACTGATTTTCATTTAGGGATGTCCATACCTGATGTTGGTCAAGTGAAAGATGGCACAATATGTGGTCCAGAAAAGATCTGCCTCCATAAGAAGTGTGTCAATATGACCTATCCGCCACGAAACTGTCATTCTAATGAGACCTGCCACATGCATGGAGTCTGTAATAATAAACAGCATTGCCACTGCAAGCGTGGATGGGCACCTCCCTACTGCAAGGACGCAGGCCTTGGAGGCAGTATGGACAGCGGGCCACCTCCTAAGGAATACGTGGCAACGCTCGAAGCAAAGGCATTGTTGGGTTACCTGTCATTATTGTGGCTTATTCCTTTTACTGCTTTCGTTTTATTTTGCCTTCTCGTAGTTTGTATGGGAAAAAAAAGAGAAGAAGAGGAAAGCTAAATCTCTTGCCTCGGTAAACAAATCCTTAGTTCTTCTTTTAATAGCAGAAAAACATTAGGGCATGTCTGACTGTTTAAAGAAAAATTCAAGGACCCCTCATACCAGGATCATAAGCATTAATATTACACCAAAGGATTTCTAGCATTTACTTTCTTACTCTTCAGTGTTAATAAGCAATATTAAAACTTTACTCCCCCCCCCCCGGATGTTGTCTATTTTCTGGGCAAAGGCTTTAAGCTGATGTCTAGCAGTTCTAAACCTCCTCCCATTTTTGTACTTTAGGATGTAAAGTACAAAATCTGCTGCTGCAGATCCCGTTTCTGTTTTGCCTATTCTCTTCAGGGTAACTGTGCCTAAAGGGGGCAGTAGAAGTAACCTAGGGTGATGGGTGAGGGGAGAAGGCAGTTTACTTTCCTGTGTGCTAAAAATTACTCTCTGTCATTTTGGCTGGGGCCATTCACTCTGGCAGCTATGTTTGGTTTTGGACTCCAGTTTTGTTGGCTTTTTAGAACCACCTTCATTCTTGCTGAGAAGTACCAGCACCCTCAAGAGATCTGACTTGTAGCTCTGAGGTTAGCAGTTCCTCATTTGAGTTCTGCCCAGCAGCTGGTCACTTGTGCTCCTTGTAAGTCTTGTTCCCTGCTCTGCAGAGGGTCTCCTTGAATCACCAGCACTCTGATAAACTCACTTTCTTTCCTGTGTTCCTCTTGCCCTAGGGCTATCAAGTGCTTTCAGTAGTTATTTCATTGTGATAGTCTGAGTTCTCTAGAAGCAGACACTGAGAGTTTAGAGTACAGGATTTTGATTGGGAGGAACCACTGTGAAAAGGTGAGGAAGTCGGCTGTGTGATGAGAAATGGTACTACATTGCAGCCTTGGCCAACCTAGCAGCCAGCTCCTCTGGAATAAATATTGCCTGAAAGATTTGTCTTGAATTGGGCCAAAATGGCCTGATCTTCACACCTTCCCTTGCTCATTCACTGTATCTGGAGTCCATGGGAATGGCAAGAGGTTGGCCACACTTCTTTGCAACTGAGGCTATTCCAAGGAGCTGACATCTGGAGGCTCTCTGTTGATTGTAATCCCTGCGGCTGTGCTCAGCAAACTTTCCTTGAAGGAGAATCAAAGTGGCCTATTTGGATATTCCACGGTCTAGGCTTTGTATTGCCCTGATCCACTTTTCCATTTGTGTTCTGGGAACAGCTTATCCAGGATTCTAATAGGCATCTCTGCCTATGAGGAACCTTACAAGAGGGAGGTTAATGAGATGAAACACAGTTCCTACTGCTGTATTTGGTACTGGGGCTGAAATTGATACTTATTATTTCTCTTCTCCACTATCCTTTCTAATTTTCCTCACCTTTACATTGCATTCTGCTGGCTTTGGATGATAACCATGTGTCATTACTCAGGTCCTTGTTTCCAAAGCCCCTGAGTGTCTAGTCACCATTCTCAGACTGGGATTGCTGAATCTATCTATTTACAGTCACAATGGGACTGGAGAATACCAAGAAGCATTGAGGGAGGTCACCTGGGTTCTACACATATTCTTTGTATCTCATGATATAATGGCAGCCCTACCTCTTCTCAGTGATTAGGCATGGTTACACCTGCCAAGACCATTGACACTGCTTCTTGCTATTGATGAAGGGACACAGGAGCCCAAAATGCCCAGGTAGCAGCTTTAGCTTATAATTCCATTAGGACTCTTTGTTCCCTGGTGAAAATGTGACTCTTTTGGGGACCAGAACCTCTAACCCTGGAGAGTTGAAGGGGACAGGAAGCACAGACCACCCTAATGGGTCATAGAGAATAGTGGTATGTGGTGCCACTCTGCTTCTAGTCCTTGGTTCCCAGACCCAAGAAAAGATCTTTGGTTCAGTGCATACAACCCACCCTGGAATGGTGTTTGTATTAGGGTTTCCCAGAGAAACGGAACCAGTAAGATATGGCATTTACATATTTACCCCTTCCCCAGAAGAAAACGTAAAGCCCTTCAGTGATTTTTACTCTTCTTGATATCCCATAACTTAAATACTATGATGTGAAATTAACAATATCCAAATGCTATGATATAAATTTAATTATCCCATGCTACATGATAAGGGAATAAGGAAAGAAAGAGGAAAATGGAAAGAAGACAATAGGATATATGAATACAAATGTATTCATAACAAAATAAAGAGGAAATAGTCATGATACTTACAGCCCTTGTTTCTATAACTGGCCACCTGGTTGCAGCTGGTATTTGTAACCATCTTTTACTATCCACTCTATTCCCTTTGCCTTTGGCAACCACTTCATCTTATCATAACTCTTTATCTGATGGTGTGACCCAAACATCCCCTCTTAAAGAGTCTGGGCCATTAGTAGTCCTGCCTGGATTGGGTTGTTAGAGTTTTCCACTGACCTTAGAAGCAGGGCATAGTAGTACAGAGAGACACACTAAGGGAGCTATATTCCAGATTCTCTTCTTTACCTTTTTACCCTGCCTTCCTTGCTGTGAAGTAGTAGTCCAATTTCCCTTTCATTATCAAGGTCAATCACCCCAGCCATCATCATAACTCCCTTCACTGCCTGTTGATTCAGAGACATGAGGAGCCCAAAGTGGTCACGTGGCAATCTTAGCTTCCAGTCGGTGGAATCATTGTTTGTCTCCTGGCAGAAGTATTCTTCCTTCCAGGACTAAGACCTCTAAGGCAGCAAAGCATGGAGTCATAGGGGTGGGAAGCAAAAATTTTGCTAGTGAGTCATTAGGTTTAATAGTAAGTGGTGCCACTCCTATTTCCAACTCTTGATTCCTGGACCCATCCATGAACCTTATCTATGGGAGAAACAGCATCATATATTGACCACTAATTCAGGGCATATACAGCTTTCTGGAGAGCCTTGCCCTAGCCTTGCAAGATATTGCCACCTAGCTGGCACTGTCACTTAGTCTTGAAAAGGCTTTTCCACCGTTCCAGTAAGACAGCTGCTTCAAGGTGGTGGGGAACGTGGTAAGACCAATGAATCCTATGACCATGGGCCCAGTGCCACACTTCTTTTGCTGTGAAGTGAGTTCCTTGATCAGAAGCAATGCTGTGTAGACTACAATGATGGTGAATAAGGCATTCTGTAAGTCCATGGATAGTAGTAGTTTTGGCAGAAGTTATTGTGTACAAGGAAGGAAAATCTGTATCCAGAGTGTCTAATACAGTAAGGATAAAACGTTGCCCCTTCCATAATGGAAGCAGTCCAATATAATGAATCATCTTCTGACATGCAGGTAGCTGGCTGATAACCCCAGAGAATGGTGACATACTGGTGACTCAATGTTGGTCTCTGCCCCTGCAGATTGGTCAGTTAATGGTGGCTGTAGTCTGGTCATCCTTGGTGAGTGAAAATCTGTGTTGCTGCTTCAAGTGTAATTGCCACCCTGTAACCATAGCTACTTTGTTCATGACCCATTGGGGCATGGTGGGTGATTAAGGAAAGAGGTCGGTACCCAGAGAATGGGTCGTTCTGCTTATTTTTTTAAAATTTAAATTCAATTTATTTAACATATACTGTATTATTAGTTTCAGAGGTAGAATTTAGTGATTCATCAGTTGCATATAACACGCATTGTTCATTACATCATGTGCCCTCCTTAATGCCCATCCCACATTTATCCCATCCCCCTCCTGCCTCTCCTCCAGCAACCCTCAGTTTGTTTCCTATAGTTAAGAGTCTCTTATGGTTTGCCTCCCTCTCTGTTTTCATCTTATTTTATTTTTCCTTGCCTTCCCCTATGTTCATCTGTTTTGTTTCTTAAATTCCACATATGAGTGAAACCATATGATATTTTATTTTCTATGACTGATTTTGCTTAGCATAATACCTTCTAGTTCCATCCACATCATTGCAAATGGCAAGATTTCATTCCTTCTGTTGGCTGAGTAATACTCCATTGTACATATTCTATCTGTGTATTACAATCCTCTTCCGGGGTAACCCTTTGGTGACTACATGGGACACAAATATGTTTGTGGTTTGTTTTTTTTTTTTTTTTTGAGATCTTATTTATTTATTCATAAGAGACACAGAGAGAGATAGAGAGAGAGGCAGAGGGAGAAGAGCTCTCTGCGGGGAGCCAGATGCAGGACTCGATCCCAGGACCCTGGGATCACACCTGAGCCAAAGGCAGACGCTCAACCACTGAGCCACCCATGCATCCCTGTTTGTGTTTTTTGGCCATTCAGAGAGGTCTATCTATATACCCCCTTTCCAAATTTCTTTGTTACTAATTTTCAAATCATGTCCCTTCTATGTTCCTGATTATGCAGTCACAGCCCATGAACTGTTACGTAATTCCACATCTGGCCATTTCTCCTTCCAAGGAGAAATGCACTGCCCCAAGTTCTACCCACTGGTAGGATTTCCCTTCACCACTCCCTTCAGGGATGTCCTAGAGAGGGGCTGCAGTGCTGCAGCTGACCACATCCAGGTGTGCTTGTATATATCATACAGAACCATCTGTAAAGCAGGCCTGAGTCTTCTCTTCCCCTGTCAGCTGATCACAAGGAATTCCCCATGAGGCTATATGTGTAGGCTGGCAGAGAGAAGACAGTGGAGCAAGAATGGGGACTTTGGACTTCAGGGCCTGCTCAGGCCTGATTTTGAATATATACCTTCTATTTGGTGGAGTGTTGGTGTGCAAGCCCACTTTTGGGTTGGTGAACACCCAGTTCATGATGTTAGCTCAGGTCACATGGTAACTTGGTAGCCCATGAGCAAGCATTCAGCTTCTACTGAGGCCCAGTAATAGACCAAAAGTTGTTTCTCAGAAGGAAAGTAGTTTTATAAAGGTGTTGGCAGAGTCTTGCCCCTAAATCTTAAGAGCCTGCATTGCAGTTCATCTCTAGAAACCTTCCCAAAGCTCCAAACAGCATCTTTATCTGAAACTGACACTTCAAGCACCATTGAGTCTGCTGGATCATAAGGCCCAAGTGGAAGAGCAGCTTGCATAGTGGCCTGGAC